GATGCTGCCATAAGACGATTATTTTTGCTCCCACACAGAAACAAAGGGCTGTGCTTGCTTTCCTTCAACCAAGGAAAATGTTCTGTCAGATGCAATTAGTGGGTCGGGATCTTACAGCATTTTCTTTTTTAACTAAATAGCACAGCCTCGCTAATGGCGCTGGGTGAGATTTGGCACTCAGCGTTCATGCAGATGGTCTGGCTGTTAGACCATGATGATGCATTTGTCTGCTGCATTTATAAGCCCTGGAAAAACAAAGCTTCTGCCATCCGTGGCAAAGCCCGCATTGTATTCCTTCTGCCATAGTTGGAAAACTTGACGTCGTTTGATCCTAGCACTAGGCTGTGGTGCACTATTTTAAGAGTACCTCTAGGAGGCAGTGTGGTCCAGAGAATTCCTTCTGAAAAACAGAAGCTCATCAGGTCGAAGAGCCAGGACTCAGCAAAGTGCTTAGTTTGAAAGGCCAAAACTGGGAAGAGACACTGAAAATCTGCGATTGGATTCAAGATGGAGGGAAATTGCTTGGTGGGGAGGAAGGTTAATCCCATTCTCCAAATGCCATGGTTCCAATCTCATTCGTTTTCCCACCTGATGACTTGAAGAGAAGAGAAGAAGAAGAGTTTGGATTTGATATCCCGCTTTATCACTACCCTAAGGACGCGGGTGGCACTGTGGGTAAAACCTCAGCGCCTAGGACTTGCCGATCGTATGGTCGGCGGTTCGAATCCCCGCGGCGGGGTGAGCTCCCGTCGTTCGGTCCCAGCTCCTGCCCACCTAGCAGTTCGAAAGCACTCTTAAGTGCAAGTAGATAAATAGGTACCGCTTCATAGCGGGAAGGTAAACGGCGTTTCCGTGTGCTGCTCTGGTGCAGGTTTGCCAGAGCAGCTTCGTCACGCTGGCCACGTGACCTGGAAGTGTCTCCGGACAGCGCTGGCCCCCGGCCTCTTAAGTGAGATGGGCGCACAACCCTAGAGTCGGACATGACTGGCCCGTACGGGCAGGGGTACCTTTACCTTTACCTTAAGGAGTCTCAAAGCGGCTAACAATCTCCTTTCCTTTCCTCCCCCACAACAAACACTCTGTGAGGTGAGTGAGGCCCAAGGTCACCCAGCAGCTGCATGTGGAGGAGTGGGGACGGGAACCCGGTTCACCAGATTACGAGTCCACTGCTCTTAACCACTACACCACACTGGCTTGGAGAAAGTGTTAACCCCTCACCCAGTTCTGTGGCTCCTATCTAATTTACCCCCCTTTTTTCCAAAAAGAAAGCGAAAGAAATTAAAGAGATGGAGGTGCAGAACATGGCTCTGTAGGATGTCCTTGGGTTTGGCTTATGGTGCTGTAGCATAGCTGGGAAAAATATGCTTTTCCACGGAATTCCTCCAAGGAGTGAGTGGGATGCCTGTTTATGATTCAGAGATGAAGGGAAAACACTGGCAAGACGCAGCATTTGATGAACTGAGTCTGCCCATGTATCTTGAATCAAAGGATCAGTAGGATTACCTACTTTGTCACTTTCAATAAGCTCTTGGGAAGGGAACTAAAACCAGACCCCCTTTTACTTGAATAAAATTACAAATGAAATTTTGAATAAAAATTTAAACTGAGTTTTTAAACTGTAAACCAAGTGGTTATTATTATTATTATTATTATTATTAATTAAAAATGTACACACAGCTTGTTTTAAATCAACTGGATAAAACCCCTGTTAAACCTATGATTATAATTACTTAAAACTGAACGAGCAGCTCTCCATCATGCATTGAATTAAAGGCAACTTTATGTGTGTCAGTGAAGGACTACATGGAATTTTTTCTGGACAAGAACTATAACTCTGGCACAATTGGTTTTGTACTATATTGTTAGTGCAGATTTAAAAGTGGGGGCCAAGAATTAGGAAGTCACCACAGATTTTGGAATCCAGCTTCTGGTCTTCACAAGAAAGATAATTCACTTTACCCATTTTAGCAAACTGGTGCATTTCTATTTTTATATAACTAAGGGGGGGGAGCAATTCTAACTCCCCAATTCCCTAGTTTGAAGGGGTTAGGAGTGATTAGATGTGTGTCCAGCAGAGAAGGGTTTTGCAAGGACATGGGCATGTCTGCTGCAGAGGCCCCCAGTATACCTACGGATAGTTCCAAGGGCATAAAGATACAACTGCTAGTGGTTTTTGCAGTAGTAGTTGCAAAACAAATCCATTGAATCCAAAGTCCCTTTATTCTTTTTTTTGGGAGGGGGGGGCAAGCAATGGACTTCCTCATCTAGGCTTGGAGCTGTTAGTAAAACTAATTTCCACTGCATTAGAACCAAGGAGTGGAATTTTAAAAATGTGGAGATCAGGGCAGACAATTCACCACTTCACACCCTCCCAATTTCACTGTGAGCTTTGTAATTTGCTACAAATTTGTTTGAATTAGGGACACTTCCTTTTCGTCCTAGAAAAGCCCAGGGCCGTGTTTAGCAGATGCGGTACCAGGGTGCAAATATCCGCCCAGCGCCCACAAATTACTATGGATAGTGGGGGGAGGGGGCGAAACTGCGCACTGCCAGCCATGGGGGGGGGCAACTCTCCCCCATGCCGCTGTGGGAGAGCAATCCCCATGGAGGCTTGAGAAGAAAGCTGCACACCCGCCAGCCATATGGTTGGCGGGGCGCAGCTGGCAGGTGTGCAGGTAAAGGGGAGGCCACTGGCAAAGCCGCACAGTTCCCCCACTCTCTGGGATGCCCCTGAGAGGCCAGCGCCCTGGCCCATAAGCCCTATGGGACAGACAGCTCTGCATCTGCCCAGCATCTCCCAACCAGCCCCTGCGGCTGGAACGTTCTGAGCCATTGTTGTCTCTAAAAGAAACAGACATGTGCCGTGAGCAAAAATGTTGAAATCTGGTTATGTCTCATCAGTCCTATTGTGTTCAGTGGGACTTACTCCCATGGAAGCGTGTCTGGGATTGCATCCTTCGTTTAATGCAACTTTGTATTGTTTTTCTTGGGTGTATCCTGCTTCTAATTAGCATTCTTAATTCACTGCAGCTTGACACAGAGTGAACATACACATTTAAATAAACTATGTATACTGTAAAGTCAGTCAAAATACCAATGAACTTATAAAACATGTATACCCTCTTATTATTTGTTTGTTGCATAAACCATATATATCCCCCTTTTTGAGGAACTTCCTCCACAAAGGAGCTTATAATCTCCAGTAAAAAACAAGACCACATGACAATAAAATATACAAAATGTAAAATACAGTAAAGCTAAAAGTTAAAGCAGCATAAAAGTACAAAAATAGTAAAGAAAGCATGATGCAGAAAGAAAAACAATATTCTAGGCAGAGTAAATAGTCCATTTAATTGTAAATGAACTTTTGGTGGTTGAATTAATCATTTAGTATGTATCATTGTTTAAGAAATATGTAGGTAAGGTAAAGGACCACTGGATGGTTAAGTCCTTCCAATCGGTAAGCCCAAGAGGCTCAGCGGTTTAGACCACAGCATCACCCACATCTCTGTTAAGAAATATATGAAGTACTTATGAGAAAGATTATTGAATTCTTTTTTGTAAAAATAACCAAAGGAAGCTGTATAGGTCCATAAGAAAAATGCTACAATCCACAGTTGGGCAACGTCTTAATAGGATCATCTACAGGTTCCCAAAATAGTAAACACACTTCTGAGCTCTTCAGAATTATCAGGATGGATGGATGTTGCGCAAAACAGGGGGTAGACCGAAGGAGGATGTGTGCCAAAAATGGCTTTGTGTTGTAGCCATGAAGTCTGCATCACCTTAAAACCAAGATGGAGTGAGGGGAAGATTGCAGTGCTGATTTAAATCAGCTTCTGTTCTGTTATAACTACTTTTGTGTTATATCACTTCCTTCAAAGAACACTTTAACTGTACTTGGTAGGATGCCAAGAATTCTTCTCAGCTCTTTTGCGCCTCTTCCCGCCCCAGTCCAAACTGCAGTTCCCTCAAAGATGGGACAGAAACAAAAAGGTATTGAAGCAATTTAAGGCTGCGGTGTAGACATACCTGGAGTAGATCATTGTCATACAAGAGTATATGAAGTTGTCTTATATCAAGTTAGACCACTGGTGTGGTCTGCTGCTTCTTATCTATTTACAGTGACTGGCAGCAGCTCTCCACCATTTCAGACAGGGGTAGGGGGTATTTTTTATCCCTACCTAGATCAGGGACCTTTTCCGTGCAAAACATCTGCACTACCACTCCCTGAGAGATGTACCCTCCCAGGTGAAGATGCCATCGCATTGCTGCATGTGGTTTGTTTTCAGGCAACTCGAACTAGAATGTCCACCCTCGCTCTTGCTCTTCATAAATGTTCCCCCAAAACTGTAGCAAAAATGTTCAGAGGTGAGAAAAGCTATTGAATGTGTGTAAGGGTTTTGATTTGCACAGAAACGATCCCTAGATGATCTGAGGTTTACCCTGTGCGCACACATATGGGCACACACATGCCCGTCCACCCATTTATTGTAAGGGACTGATTTCAAAATAAATTATCACTGAAGAGCATGAGGGAAGCCCCTTAATTATATTCCGGTTGGTGAATGGTGCAGCAGATGGAAACCGTCTGAAGATTTGCTTAAAATAGCTGCTTGTTGCCAAACTGTGCCACCCAGAGAGCAAACTTTTAGGTGGATCATTTGAGCTAAAGCCATAGGTGGGCATTCAATCTTTCAGGAAGTTTCCCCGTTGCCATTGGCTGTGTTGACAGAAAGTTGAAATTACTTGGCAAACATAATTCATCCATTGCACATCATTTATGGTACTTAAGGGTTTGTAGGGCACACCCCAAAGCAGCAGGAACTGTTTAAGATTATATCCCCTACTTTTCTGTAACCCATTTACAAGCTGTTCCTGCGTGACTGGGCACCCAATGACACTTTATGCAAACATCTATAATTAGCTATTTACTTTGCTTGCCCATCCCAGTATAAAGTATGAGCATATAAGCAAAATAAAAATCATTTGTGTTGTCTGAAAGAGCCTTCTTCAGATCATGCAATCTTGCCTCTAAGAAGCATCAGTAAGAAAGGTAAGTTCTAACCTCCATTTTCTCTCCTTACTAGATTTAGTTCTTCTTATTCAAAACAGGCTGTTAAACTTCGGCACAACATACAACCTCACTCCCCCTATTGTTCTTTGAAAAGAACATAATTGCCATGTTTAAGATCAATAACATGTTGACTGTCAAAATTATGTCCCAAGTTCTAAAATATAATTGTGGGGTTTATGTGCCACTTTTCAAATTCTTGGAGAAGTTCAAAAACCCCAGCATGCCAGCTAGTCTGAAGAGACCCATATTGGGCATCAAATACAATATGTTATTTATATCAATATTATCACAAATAATAGGGACCTTGGGTAGATAGTCCCTAGCCTAAGGATCCCACAACCCAGTCAGACAACAGGTAAAGACAATGGAAACAAAGAAACAAGAAGCAAAGATTTAAGATTTAAAATGAACTGTGTCCATATAAATAGTGCTGCATTCTGAGTAAGCAACTATTTTCATTAGATAGTCAGCAGTGATTGGGTAACTAACATATAGATACTAACATATAGATACTAAGCCTGTGTCTGGTTTACTTAATCGGCTCCAATGACAAGGCAAGAGTGTTGGTACCTTTGGAGCTAAAATTTGGAGCAAGAGCACAGTTAAGTCTTATTGGGAGAAAGGGTGCATGGTATGGTTGTTGATTGCAGTGGATATCCTCATGTTTTTCTGTCCCACCATGATATCCCATTGAATTGGTGTAAAGGCATCAGTAGCACTTCAGGTTTTACCCTGAGAAAACTAAAACTGTTCTCCAGAAATGTGTTCAGATCTGCAACAATAAATGAATTTATTCATTTCATTCAATACTGCCCTTTATCCAAGGATTACAGGATGGTTTACAATATAAAAGCACCAAAAGACACAACATAGTAACCAACAAAACAATAACCCCCCATCCCAGTACGTTGGCTGCAAAGTTATATCTATAGCAACATACCTGGAACTAAGCCCCATAGAACTAAATGGGACATACTTCTGAGTAGAAATGTATAGGAATGCGCCTGAAGTTAATTGTCCTGCTGAAATGAAATGGGTTTGGGACTTTGCTCAACTCCTATTGATTTCAGTGGGAATTAAGCACAACAAACTTAATTCAACTACATTTTGGAGTGGTGGTTGCAATGATCATTTTAAAGTTTTCCAAAAGGAATTCTTTTTTTAGTGCACAGTATACATGTGGCTCGCGCGCCCCCACCAAAAAAGCAGTGTCTCCTTCTATTAGCCAAGCCAGTTTTATTATTCTGTTGCCATGTACAGAATTTAGGAAATAAATTAAGTTTTGAATTAGGAAACAGAAATAAACAGGCTTTCAGTCCTAAAGCCAGGCTTTAATCTCAACCAATACATTTGTATAGTTATCAAAGTGCAAAGGCTTCATCGGATCTCTGATGCTAAGCAGAAACAATCATTGACACACAGTAACAGATCACTCCATTTCTAGGCATTCAGGAAAAGTCCCCAGCATTAACAGTTTATTTTACAGTATTAATTTTCGGGTTCAAAAAAGAAAAATTCCATCAAATCTCCAAGGGGACCTAAGGATACATGTGATCCTGTACATCTGGGGCTGTGTACACATTACTGCCTTACAATGCAGCAAGGTTGTCCTGTTTCACTGTGTTTGAAACAGCATTTGCACATTGCTGAATGTATCAGAATGGTTCGATGTTTATCCAAGTCTCCCATCTAAGCCCACGCTAGTGGGATGTCTTCATTTGATGAGCGGTTCTGAATTTGGTTGAAGTTGGGGTTTTATTGTGGGGGAGGGAATGCATCAAAACACAGTGCCTCACACACACAAAAAGCTACAGGATAGCTGTAGACTGTGTGCACAAGGCTTCCCAAAACGAGTGGTGGGAGCACATTGGATACAGAGTACATGGAAGTGTGTACATTGATTCTTAACTTATTCTAATGCCTGTTATTTCCTAGTCCTTTCTACTGATTTCTTTTTAAAATTAATTATACATATTTTTGGCTCTGAGTTATGTTGCAGAAATTGTTATAAGAAGGTATATCTGGAAGTGGCTCACAGAGTACAAAATGCCACTAGATCGCAGAAGATAATGATTTTAATTCCTGCACTGGAAAAGGCCTTTTGTCAGAAGGCAGTCATTCACAGTACAGTGGTACCCCGGGTTAAGTACTTAATTTGTTCCAGAGGTCTGTTCTTAACCTGAAACTGTTCTTAACCTGAAGCACCACTTTAGCTAATGGGGCCTCCTCCTGCTGCTGCTGCGCTGCCACGATTTCTGTTCTCATCCTGAAGCAAAGTTCTTAACCCGAGGTACTATTTCTGGGTTAGCGGAGTCTGTAACCTGAAGCGTATGTAACCCGAGGTACCACTGTAGTTCCCTTAGGAAGATGGCGGCGTTGACCCTATTTGTTCATGGCCTGGTCTTTTTCCTCTCCAGGTTCCCAAGATGCTACTTTACTCTTCTCTTTGTTTCTGCGTTCTCATTTCCATTTCATCATCTTTAACCAAGGATGAGCTGTTATCAAAAATTGCCAATAAACATATGCTGACAACCAAGGACACTGCTTCCCTGATTAATGCTGGAAAAAACGTTTATGAAGGTAACAAAAAGCCCTGAAATGCTACTCAAATGAAATGAAAATGTAAGAAGAGAGGAAATTTGGTAAGGTGCCATTGCTACCTGATGCAGGGATGGAGAACCTGCAGACTCTCCAAAAGTTGTTGGAAAACAACTCCTGTCAGCCCAGTTCATTGGCCATGTTGGCTTGGAAGCTGATGGGAGTTGTAGGCCTAGGCATCTAGAGAAGTCCCCCATCTACTGCTAATGATCACTGGTGAAACTCATTGCAAATCTCTTCTGGTCTCCATAGGGCTTAAGGTGTGTCTGCTAAGGGAGGGGTTATGCAGCAAAGCCCTAATAGAACTGAATTGAGGCCAGCTGGCAATGTTGCTCTCAGATCATTTTAGACTCTGGTCTTAATGGTGGATTTATTACTTCATGTATGTTGTAAGTCAGCCCTCTTGCCTATTCCGCAGAGCAGGGCCCTGGACCTCTTTCTCAAAGTGATGGCGTCACTGCCAGTGAGGGGTATTTAAAAGATTTATAAACTGCTCATGTAATTAAAAAATCAGAGCGGGGTACACAGAAACCCAACAAAGTATGAAATGTACACCAGAAATAATACAGATAAAATAACACCAGAAGACGTTCAGCAAGTCATCAATTTAAAAATGCATTCGGAAAAGGCCTTAAGCGTGCTTCGGAAAGAGCAGATTGTTGGAGCATGTCTTATCTCCAGTGGTGATAAGTTCCTTATTAAAGAGTCCACAGCACCAGTCCAAAAATCTCAGCTTGTTGAATTGCTTATAGGTTTTATTTATTTCTGTCTGCAAGGTACTTACAAGGAGTCTGGTTCTTCTGTTTCAGAATACATTGCAAGGGACTGCAGAGCAGCTCACCTCCGTGGCAGGAAGCAAAGCGGCCTGTATGTCATCCGTCCCAAATACTCTCCCTTGCTGGCGGTCTACTGTGACATGGAGTATGATGGGGGCGGCTGGACGGTCTTGCACAGAAACAATGTCAACTCAAAGACAACCTGGTCATACCCATGGCAGTCTTATAAGCATGGCTTTGGGGACCTGCAGGGAAACCACTGGCTTGGCAATGAATACATGCACCTCTTAACCAACCAGAACGCCTTCTCTGTACGATTTGTCATAACTAACAGTCAAGGGCAAACCAAGTACGCTGAATACCAGAGTTTTAAAGTGGATGATGAAGACAGTGGTTATGCTTTGAGGCTAGGGAACTATACAGGGGATGCTGGGGATTCACTGACCACTATAGGTGAATGGGGAACCCATGACAACATGAGGTTTTCTACTGAAGACAAGGATAATGACCGGAGGGCCAGTACAAACTGTGCACTAGATAATGGTGGCGGCTGGTGGTACGATAACTGTTACTCAGCCCTCCTAACAGGCGACATTCGCTGGAGGGGGTTGTGCTCAGAGGCCATGCCCTGTACATCAGCATACATCATGATTCGACCCAATGGGAAAAATTGCAACATACCTCCAAGATATTAATGAATTGTTTCCTACCACTATAAGAGGCTTCCTCTCATTTTAGATCAGCTCCAAAAACCAACCACCAATATGTAGTTTTATAAGGCCCCAAGATTTAGGACACAATAGTTCTCCAGGAATTTGTTGTAAACCCTCATTGAAAGGAATGAGAGCTACATAGGAGCACAGTAGCTGTGTTCTTAGGCAACTCCCATTCCTTTCAGTGGGGCTTATCAGGAGAACTCCCCAGTGGTATCTGCTTTCTTTTCCACCTACCTGAAACAACTGTTAAAGATTTTGGCCAAAATCTAGTCTATGTATCACAGTGCTGATGTCAAGAGAATTACAATACTCTATTGCGCATTTCTGAGTGTGAAAAAGTAGTAGCTTATTTAAAAGAGAAGACCCACATAGAGCTGAAATATCTTTATCTCTGTGCTTTTAATGAAAAATACAAAAATTCATTTGTGATTTACAAATACCTGCAATAAAAGAGAGAGAAATGGCTATTGTTTCATTGTCAAATAAACTCTATGCAAGCATAAATGGAGAATGATTTTGAAGTTGTTTCTCAAATGTGATATTAAGAATAGAATCCTTTATATGCACATTTACCTGAGAGTAGGTCCTATTGGATTTGCATAAACTTGTATGAGATTTAACTGCATTTCTCTTAAAATTAGAGGTGTAAAAATATTCTTGAGGGTTATGGTTTGACACCTTCTGAACCTGAAAATTACAGATAGTCCAGCCCCTTACTACCTCAGTGGTGCACGATAGCTAGCATACCAGAAGGCTTACAGTCTCACATTTTTTATTCATCCTAGTTCTGTCCATCCCCGTCGCTTCCTCAATGGAGCTAAAAGTGGTGTGCACTGCCTGTTTCTCCTCTCTCTCCCCTTTTGTCCCCTCAACAACATCGTGAAGTAGGTTAGACTGAGAGATAGTGACTAGCCTAAGATCATCCAGTAAAATTCATAGCTGAGTGGGGATTTCCACCTCGGTCTATACAAACTGCACCACACTAAAGCTTAAAGAAAACTCCAGTGTGGTCTAAGTGGTTAGATGACTGGACTAAACTAAATCACCATTCAACTATGAACCTCACTGTGGGATCCTAGGCCAGTCACTATGTGCATGTGATGTGTGTAGTTGTGGTGGCTGTGCCCACATTTTGGGCATGCTGGCATGTGGGCCCCAGAGGGGTTGTAAAGTGGTAACGCAGCCTCCAGGTCTAAAAATGTTAGCCACTCCTGCATTAAGTTAATGCACTACATGTTAATGCAATATATAATGGCACTTGAGGAAAAACAGACACATTTTCATGCAATTGGGGTGGGGGGAGCTTTCCCAGGAAAATTTCCTCCTGCGCCTTCCATAAACCTATGTCAGACTTCCCTGTGCCAAAGAGAACTTTCTGTTCTAGTGATATTGCACAAATGTAAAGAATAGGCGCAATGTGAACTGTCCTGCATTGACAGAACTCATATTGGTATATTCATTATACAAAATGTGCTCTATCAGCCATGTGTGGTTCATCAATCATGCAAAATTAACTGCTGTCCACAGACCTTTATTCCTCTTAAGAAACCTTTATCAGACTCTTTCAGTAGCACATTTTTTAACTTAATAGGGGCAGAATTACTGGTATATAGCCAGTCCATAAAAAGAGAAGAAAGTAACTACGTTATACGGGCTCTCTGGCTGAACTTTCACTCTCTTTCCTTCCCCTCATAAACTATGAGCAGGAATCCTGGGTCTGCAGAAGAAAAGTGTAGCCTGCTCAGAGTTACAGGGAAAGGTTAGCCAGGACAGGTTTAGCTTCCAGAGTATGAAGAACATTGCCTCTCTACTCTGCAAGAATGGGAAAGAGCTGTAGTTCAGTGGGTAGTGCCTCTGCTTTGCATGCAGAATGTCCCAGCGTCAACCCATGGTATCTCTAAGTCGTGCTGGGAAAGATTCCTCTCTGAAATCCTGGAGAGCTGCTGCCAGTCAGCATAGAAAATACTGAGCAACATGGACCAGTGTTCTGACTCAGTTCCTCCCCTCTGTTGTTGTTTAGTCGTTTAGTCGTGTCCGACTCTTCGTGACCCCATGGACCACAGCACGCCAGGCACTCATGTCTTCCACTGCCTCCTGGAGTTTGGCCAGACTCATGTTTGTAGCTTTGAGAACACTGTCCAACCACCTCATCCTCTGTCGTCCCCTTCTCCTTGTGCCCTCCATCTTTCCCAACATCAGGGTCTTTTCCAGGGAGTCTTCTCTTCTCATGAGGTGGCCAAAGTATTGGAGTCTCAGCTTCAGGATCTGTCTTTCCAGTGAGCACTTGGGGCTGATTTCCTTCAGAATGGATGTGTTTGATCTTCTTGCAGTCCATGGGACTCTCAAGAGTCTCCTCCAGCACCATAATTCAAAAGCATCAATTCTTCAGCGATCAGCCTTCTTTATGGTCCTCCCCTCTAGGCAACCTATTTATTGAGCATTCATTCTGGTTTGTTTGCTCCAGATGCTCCACAATCTTTGTCACTGTCCTCTGGACACATTCCTCTCTTTTTTTTGTAAATTTATTTATTTGGGTTTTTCCAATTAAAATTTTACAATAGGATATCAATATATAATATAGAAACAAGATTCTACATAATCTCCTGGACTTCCCTCTACCGCTTTGTGGGTCCTATTGTTGGTCCTTTCCTCCTGCATCTTTTACAATAATCCAAATATTTTGCATCTCCATTATGTCCAAAATTCACCATTAAACTACAAGTGTTATTCCAGTCCCACTAATGATTTTAGCTGTTTACCATGGTTTGAAAGATAGATTGTAAATTTTCCCCATTCCTTATTAAGATTTTGCTCTTCCTGAGTTCTGATTCTTCCGGCCATTTTTGCCATTTCGGCATAGTCCATCAACTTTCCTCTGGACACATTCCAGTTTATCAAATTACTTCTTAAACTGTGATGTCTTCTGTCAATACATTCTAGAATATCATTAGCCCTTTGCCAACGCATCACACTGCTGCATCATGTTTAACTTGCAGTTTACTTAAACCCTTACAGCCTTTCCCACGTCATCATCTCAAGATCCTGTATCCTGTTTCTATCTCTTAAGATATCTCTTAACCACCACACCCAGTTTAGTGTCATCTGCAAGTTTAAAGAGCATCCCCTCCACCCCTTCATCCAAGTTATTTATAAAGATGTTAAACACCAGTCATTAATTAGCACTCTTTCAGTTTCTATTAATCAACTGCAAACAGTAACACCATCTTGTCCACATTTTACCAATTGGCCAACAAAAATGTAATGGGGGATCTTATTAAAAGTCTTGCTAAAATTAAGATATATTATGTTAAGAGGATTCCCCTGATCTACCAGGGTAATAACAGGGCTGGTGCTAGGATGAGGCAAACTGGGGCAACTGTCTCGAGGAGAAGGTTTGGCAAAATGGCACCCCTTGGACCCCCACACTTACTTCACTACTGGCCCTGCTGCTGCCATCAGCCCAGAGCCTCCGAGTTTTCAGCAGGGCTTTCTCACACAAACAAATATTTGTGTGTATTTATTGTATTATGAAATCACTTTGTGGTACTTCATAGGAAGTGATTCATAAATGAAATAAGCAAATAATATTATAATGGATGTACATTTCAACACACTTTTTATGTGTCTCCCTTACCTCACTGACACAAGTAAATGTAGATATGAACATTTAAAGCAAAAAAAGTTTTGGACTGTGTATTATTGTCAAAGTTCTTGCTTATTTCTGAATCAATCAAAACATATGCTCTAATTCAACCACAAATTAGTAAACCATATATTCTTTTCTATAAGAAGAAAAGAATGGCGAAGTGAGACCCTGTAACTCTGTTTTTCTATGTTATTATAACCAACATATTCCAGACCTTAAAGCCTGTTAGTGACGGTACAATATGTTGAACAGAACTACAATATGTAAGAATGGATGCATGTCCAAACCCTGAATCAGATGTGGCTAAGCACTGATAGTAATAGCACAATAAACTATGGAACTCACTCACACAGAAGGAAGTGATGGCCACCAACTTGGATGGCTTCAAAAGGGTATTAAAGAAAGTGATGTGACGATAAGGCCATGATCACTAGCCATGATGGCTGCGTTCTGCCTCCATGGTTAGAAGCAGTCTTGCTTTTGAATACCACTTGCTGGAAACCACAGGAGTGGTGAGTTTTCTTATGCTTGAGTCCTGCTTGTGAGTTTCCCACAGGCATCTGGTTGGCCACTGTGAGAAATGGATGCTGGACTAGATGGGCCCTTGGCTTGATCCAGCATGCTCTTCTTATGTTCTAATGTTCTTGGATTATTATTATTTTATTCTGGACCCAGAAAGCCAGTTGCAGTTGTCACACTCGTTGTCCTTTATTTTATATAACTATCTTAATCTAGCCAGCACTTTCCCCACACCAATATGTGATTTAGCCTAGGACTTGCCGATCAGAAGGTTGGCGGTTCGAATTCCCGCGACGGGGTGAGCTCCCGTTGCTCGGTCCCTGCTCCTGCCAACCTAGCAGTTCGAAAGCACGTCAAAGTGCAAGTAGATAAATAGGTACCACTCTGACGGGAAGGTAAACAGCGTTTCCGTGTCCTGCTCTGGTTCACCAGAAGCGGCTTAGTCATGCTGGCCACATGACCCGGAAGTTGTACGCCGGCTCCCTCGGCCAATAAAGCGAGATGAGCGCCGCAACCCCAGAGTCGGTCACGACTGGACCTAATGGTCAGGGGTCCCTTTACCTTTAACCTGATTCAGACTGAAATTCTCAGGTGTCAGAAAAGGTTATTTATGTATACTGCAACTGCAGCCCATGTTTTGTTAGCCCCAAAATGGAAAACTAGCAAGGTCCGAACCAAAGAAGACTGGCAACTTAAGTTGACAGAATATGCACAACTTGCAGACTTAACATATAGAATAAGAGAACAAACATTTAAAGAAGATTGGAAAATGTTTATTGAATATATGGAAAATAATTGTGTACAGCTGAAAATGCTGGCAGCATTAAGATAAATTCAACAGTGTAAATAAGTTTTGATGGATGCAATAATGGAATACTGATTGGTATATTTCTTGTAAAATATGCAGGGATTTTTGATACATAAAATAAACCATGGAAAGAGAAGAAGGGAAGTCACTGATATCTTAAGGAGATAAAATGAGTATTTTAAATTGTAAAACAGAAAACTGGAGAAAAATAAAATTATACACACACACACACACACACACACGCACACACACACACAATTCCCATCACCCCTGACCATTGGCCCTGCTGGCTGAGACTGATAGGAGTCCGACAACACCTGGAGGTTAGCCATCCTTGATTAAAAGACTTAAAGAGCAGAAACCCTATACACAATCTCATCTGCCTCCCTCACATTCCCTCAACAATATGAAAAGCAGAAAGATGTTCTTCCTTGTGACACCACTTTTAGAGGAAGAATGTGTGTGAATGTGTTAGCAGCCTAGTCACTTGCCAGTTCCAATGTATAAAACAGAAAGTACAGAATGACTTTCTGTACTTTCCAGATCTGCTGTTCAGCTTCCTTCTTCCTCCAGTCTTGAGTTAATCTTCATTTACAGTGTTTGCCATCAGGAGGTGGCCCGTCAGACAGTCTATATGTCCACGCAAGTCTGCTATCTTTCTAGAACTTGAGGTCTCTAGTAAAGATAACGTCTTAAGAGCAAACAGATGGCATGCACGCACATGCTGTGTGTTGCTCCTGGTAGTGCCCCGCTCATTAAATATACAGCTCAAAGTTTCCACTGTGGATAGCAGAAGTTGAAATCAAATGCCTTAGGAAAGCATGAAGCTACCTAGAACTGACTCAAACCATTGGTCCATCTAGCGTTGTCCATACTGACTGAGAGTGACTCTCTAGGGCAGGCATGGCCAAACTTCGCCCTCCAGATGTTTTGGGACTACAACTCCCATAATCCCTAGCTAACAGGACCAGTGGTCAGGGATGATGGGAGTTGTAGTCCCAAAACATCTGGAGAGCCAAGTTTGGCCATGCCTGCTCTAGGGTTTCAAGCAGGGGTCCCTCCCAGGACTACCTGGAAATGCCTGGGATTGAACCTGGGACCTTCTGCATGTAGAGCAGATGCTCTACCACTGGGCCAAGACCCTAATCCATAGAGAAAATCAGGTCTTGTTCTTCTCCTGGAGTAAGGAAAATGCCATGAAATTAAACCAAGAAATTGTGGAAGATGGTAGTATGGAATCTAGTGCAAAAGAGTTATGAGTTTATGTGCAAAGTCTGATTCTTGCATTTAAGCTGGCTTATTGTTTTTAATCATAGTCAATGGTACTGCAATGGCACAAATACAAGTCCTCACCTTTAATCAGTTCATTTAAAAACAAACAAACAATTTGCATTTTTAAAAAACTTTTAAAAAGATTGTACAAATTTCTACAAATTACAGTGTTATCAAAAAGGAGTTGATGACATTCTTCGTAATCCATATATGATTATAGATCACTGTTGAACAAAAACAAACATAAAGTCAAAAGAAAGAAACCACAGGTACGTGAATGCAGGAAAGGTAGCAACTGGAACTATTTATAGCACAGACATAATGGTGCACTATCAAGTCTTTATTGTGCAAATTTTGATTGCCCTCGTCAAATATAGACAAAAGGACTAATAGAGCTGTTGGGATAAAGTGGCAGTTTGAGATATTATCAATTTCTCTGAATACTGTTGCCCAAAATTCTTGCACTCTAGTACAACCCCACCATAGGTGGAGGTATGGTCCAATTTCTAAACATCCCCTCCAGCATCTTGATGCAGATGGACTTATGCATATTTTAAATATTCTATGGCCTTTTAAATGTGTTTGTGGGAGGGGGTTATTGGTTTTGTTTGTTTGCTTGTTTTAACCATTTATTTTGTGTTAATCCTGTATTTTTATCTTATGAACCACCCTAAGATGTTCAGATGAAGCGTAGTATATAAATTTTATTATTATTAATAATAGTAACAATAATTTACTAGAAGTCATGTACCACTTATGAATCAACTTTAATGGCAGTTATTTGTGTTTAGCTGATGAAAAGGAGGACTCCGCCACCCAAAATGGCCAACCAAGTAGTTATGTCACATTCTGTGTTCCATGACATTCTTAAACACATTTGGTGTCCAAGCTCATATTTGAGCAAAATTTTATAAATATTTGAAATTATACCTTTTGAATAGTTTGAAGAAATTTTACTTTTAATGCCTCTGAATATGGAGAAGTGAACATGGAAAGCTAGCAAGTCAGAAGGATGTTAGTCTCATTTTTAAGATATGCCTATTTTCTACATATTCATTTTTTATATGTGAAGCAATCAACATTTCCATTTTCCACCCACAATGTGAAGTGGTACATTCCAGCAAGAGCTAAGCTATATGGTTTCACTGAAAACAAGGCATGGCAATTAATATACTGAATGCAAAACTTTCTATAGGCAATTTCCCTTGCTCCTGGTGTCCAGGTGCAGCTGGAATGTTAATTGCTGAGTTATTTGCTTGCTCTGGATTTATGATGGGAGTGTAGCAAAAGCCAAGCAGAACAAACTAATCATAGATGTAGGTGCTGATTTTTCATGAGAATTATGATGGAGGGAATTTTACTGCTTTTTTGTTTGTTAATTTAGTCCTGTATCCTGGCATGGGTGTGACCTAATATATTTGCAGAGTTAACAAATAAAACATGTTCACAGTTTCTAAGAGAAACTAGGCCACATTTGAGATTTTTAAATTTGGGGGGGGGGGGCAGGTACAGTCTTTAAAATGCTTTTTTATCATCCTGACTGTCAAATTTAACCAAACCAAAGTCACTGATGAATGGAAAAGAGGATCTAATAATGGCAAATTTGCATTATGATAGTGATTGCAGGATCAATGCTACAATCATATGATCTGTTATGCTTAGGCAAAGAGTTGTGTTTTCCATGTCATTTGACTTTGTGTGATTCTGGGTCTTTTATGGGAAAAATACAAGTAGTAGGTACAGAAGGACCCAAGCAAGATCTGGGCTGTGGTATTCAAAAGGCTTTAGCCTTTTGTCCCTGCTGTGGTCCTGATATAGCTCTATACATCATATAGATGTAGAGGAAGTGGCAGGATCAGCCCAAAAAGTGCTTTTCTGAATCCAAGCTATTGTCTTCACTCCCTGAAAACAACTGGCTGGCCATTGTTGAAATCAGAGGGTGGAATTCAACATCTGCTTGCCAGATGGAATGATCTTTCTCTCCCCCCCCCCCACTCCGTGTGTTGTTCTGGAGGTTCTCCAACCCTCCCAAGAAGATTTGGGGAGGATGCAGCAGGGGGACAAGAAGGGGGAGAGTCACATTGCATTGGCAGGACTCATTGCGTTGGATTCCAATAGTGTAACAATTTAGCTGAATCTGGCCCTTACTACTGAAAATGACAGGACCTTTTGTTTGATCTGGCAGGGCACTCAATTTTTAAAATGTCCCTTTGCCCACAATGAGCTCTTCTCCAGACTAGCTAATGCTCCATGAAGCAGTCCTCCTTGTGGGAAGCCCTCCTGTAGCACTTCTTACCATTTCAGCTTCATTTTAGCTCTGGGGTGAACATTCTGAGAATTTTATTATGGGTCTTGTCATTGTAATCATGAATAGGCAACAGGCATGGCGTGCTAAAGGGATGCGGGTGGCGCTGTGGGTTAAACCACAGAGCCTAGGGCTTGCCGCTCAGAAGGTCAGTGGTTCAAATCTCCGCGACGGGGTGAGCTCCCGTTGCTCGGTCCGTGCTCCTGCCAACCTAGCAGTTTGAAAGCATGTCAAAATGCAAGTAGATCAATAGGTAGCGCTCCAGCGGGAAGGTAAACGGCGTTTCCGTGCGCTGCTCTGGTTTGCCAGAAGCGGCTTAGTCATGCTGGCCACATGACCCGGAAGCTGTCTGCGGACAAACACCAGCTCCCTCGGCCAATAAAGCGAGATGAGCGCCGCAACCCTAGAGTCGGTCACGACTGGACCTAATGGTCAGGGGTCCCTATGGCGTGCTAAACCTTTAGCTAGCAATCAGTGTGCAGCACTGTACACAACTTCTGGGATAAACTTTCTCCTCTCCACTATCTTGGGCATATTTCATCTCTGGAGGCAAGGTTGCCAGGAGAGGGAGAGATGGAGGGAGAGAGATGCTCACAATAATCAGAAGAATACAGATACAAAAGTCAGTGAGCATTATGTGTAAGCAAACCTGAAATGCAAGCTGACAGGAAAACTCTCTCGTCTGAGCACCAGCGTTCCTCTTGGGAGTGTGTGTTGAGCTCAGGTTTTACATTTGCCTTATCTGATGCACAAGTTGTGTTTGTCTTTTTCCAGTCCTCTCAGGTGTGTGTTGCAAAAACGGCTCTAACAAGTTTCGGTCTGCATTTTAAAATAGCTACATTAGACGTTTAATTAAACTATCCAGACCTAGGCTATGTGACTGATGCTTTACAAAAGAAACAGTGCCAATCCATTCTTCTTATGCCATAAGTAAAAACATTATGTCTGAAATGTAGCCATAAGGAGGCACTGAACAGTAGGGGAGAGAAGAAGCAATGGAGAGGCAAGACCTGGGAACTGAAACTTCCAATGGATCAGAGATCACAGCAAGGAATTTACATAGGGCCCTTCCAGACCGGTGCTTTTTTTGGCGAATGCATTCTGCAACATGTCACTGGTGCAATATAGTCATGGATTTATTTATACTGCACCATCCACACATCATTCTGCTCTGTTAATTGTTTTGTGATGCTTCCACGATGCTACTGCATTATTGCCATCTGAAAGAGCACTTTTATGCTATATATCACAACAAAAGCAGGACACACACAGAGAGAGAACATTTATGGTGTAAAAAGTTGCATGAACTGAGCAGGAAGTTATGGGGCCTGCAGTGATTGGAAAGCAAGCTCTATGTCTGCACCAAAATCTTTGCAGGCATAAACAGTATTGAAAACTGGATCCCATATAACTACCCTGAGTCCCTCATGATGAGCACAAGTCATCATGAATGCAGAATAAAAAGGATGTCTGGAGGGGCCCATACTATGAATTTTATGTACATTTCCTGAGAGCAGCTCAGGTGGCATTCCCCGCTCAGGTGGCATATTGCTTTGGCATATTGATTGTGCAGAACAAGCAGCTCAGTTGTCACTTGCATTTGATGCTCCTTGACCTGTATTTTGTTTTACTTTTTAATCAATCAATCAATCAATCAATCATAGCTCACCCAGTAGAGTACGGTCTACAGAGAGCTAAAAAAAGAGCATGGATTTTCTAAAGCACAACTGGATCGCTTGAGGCTGAAGCTCAAAACAAAGCCACTGAATCTGCCCAAAAAGGAAAAAGAAAGGGGAAAGAAGGTGGTTGGACTCTCTCGTCTAAAATCATTTGCTGTCAGGAAAGTCTATCCATCAGTCTCAAGCAGATCAACACACAGAATCCAGCCCCAAAGGATGCCACAAACAGAGAGCTGTGGTCCAGGAAGTTTGACATGTTCACACACACAGTACAAATCTGAAAGAACCCTCTAAAAAATATCCAGGCTGGGATACAGACACAGTATGCAAGTATAAGGATCCTTTGAGTTTCTATTTTTCAGATGGATTGCTTATTTAATGTTAGGGATGTCTATTGTTCAAAGAGGTGGAAGGAGTCAGATTCCAAGAGCTATGCAGCTACCTTAGCCACTTGGCTACTGGCACCCATTATTCTTACTACTTTATCTGAAGCAATTTTTATCTCACTCGTCAGCTGAAAAAGGCTCCCACAGAGGCTTTCAAACGCGAGCAGTAAGGAAGCCCTTGCCCTCGGCCTTACAATCTAAAAGACACAACACAAAAGGAAAAATGATTGGGAGGGAGGAGGAAAAACAAGCAAACTAGGCACCTTCTCTCAGTTACACAGTTTATGTAATGAAAGAAGGAGTGGAAAGTTTTCAGAGAGAGAGGAGCCAAAAGCTGCTGCTCTTTCAGCAGAGTGGATGGAGATCCCTCTCCTATAACATGATGGAAGGTTGCTATATATGACTAGCAGTCATTGGCCACTCCCAGGTGACCTCTTCCTCCAAAAAGATCTCTGCAGGATCTGGTCAGACAAAATCCTGATTCCTTCCCCTATTAGCACTGAGCCATGCCCATATCCAAATTTATATTCATTGGCAACCTATCGTTTCCCTGCAAAGGATTTTCTGTCTTCTCTCACACACCAACATTACAAAGACCCAACGTGTTATCATTTAATTCTTAGAGAATGTCTCATCTTAAAGATGCACCTGTTGCTACTGAGGAACATGTTATATTGACTTTACAAAGGACAATCAAATAAACTTCCATTTAGGAAAAGCAGCAAAGTCAACAGCACTGAGGAGTGTAGCAGCTGTTATGGTGGAGGCACTGGCAAATATTGCATACTAAAGTTAACTAGTAACAAGGTTAGTCATCCAGGATCTTATCTCCACTTATAAAACATAAATGGGGAATCTGTCGCAGCACTTTCTCCATTTGAATTTAGCTTCAAAAAGTGCTGTAAGTTTGTCAAGCAGTCTGTTACATCTGAGGTGTTGGAGCCTCATATCTATTATTAATTTGCGTGTGGCCTCTTTCAGATATCTGTCTGCACAATGCATCCCCCCAATGTCCTGCTGGCTACAGTTGCTCTTCTTTTTCTGATCCCTGTGACAAGCTCACTGAATGAGGAAAAACTGAGGAAACAACTCAGCGAAATTGTCAACCTAGACTTGGTCAAGAATGTCACTCAGATTCGGAACTGGAGAATTATTGTGCAAAGAAAAGGTAATTTATGTTTAATGATTTGTGAAGTCACACTATTGTTTATTGCGCCTATGTGTTGCTGTTAAGTATTAAGGAGTGTGTGTTTGAGATGTAAAATAACTTTTTTTAAAAAAGAAAAAAGATTAAGAACAACTCCAGCATTCTGAACTCTAGCATTCTGAATTGTTATGGAAAGAACAGACAAGAAAACCACTCATTTCTGATATAGTTAGGATTCTGGAAAGCAAAAGCAGGTAATTTGTGGACCTTCAGATGTTATTGGACTCCAGCTCCTATCATTCATGACCATTGGCCAGGCTGGCTTTGGCTGATGAGATTTGGAGTCCAGCAACATTTGGGGGGCACAATTTCGTCATGTTGTTCTAAATATCTCACTGACTGGCTAACATGAGAGATAATTCTTCCCCCATAATAACTCTACTAGATTTATTTCTTCCTCCTTTCTAAACTGGTGAATTCCAGTGAATGCAGACTGAATACGGGGATGACTTTGAACACCCAGTCTCAGTTCTGTTGGATTCGTCCTCACAAAAGTGTTTTCCACGCCCCCATCAAAAGAAGGTTTTCCAATAATTATTTTCAAGATGCTGTGCTTAAATTTCAGTTTGGGTTTTTTCCTTAATTTTATTCTTAGTTTCCAAATGATGTTGCTTGAATCCACGTTTTCTGAGCCACTTGAAAATACAATCTCTGAAGAAACATTTAAATAACCTATTGGATTATTGGTCTTCCGTTTTTCGATAACATTTCCCTGCTAACTCCTGAGTATCTAACAAATGTCCAAATATTAGAATGTGTGGCAATGCTTTAAATGGATAAAATTGTGACCTTCATTAATGAGGAGTTATAAGACACACTTTAAATGGTACACTCAGATTTCAGCAGCTTCACTGTATAAAATACTCCATACTTTGTTTGTATCCACTGAGAATTATATAACGCGTTTTATAACATCATCACAGAGAGGTTCATGTCACTGAAGATCAAGAATTATGAGGTTACAAACTATTCTTTCTAAAGAAGAATTCTTCCTCTATTCTTGTTCTAAAATATTTATATAGGTCTCCGGTTTTGTGACTGGATGAAAAAGCATTCCAAAGCTATTATGATTAAAATAAGGCACCATCGAATAGCCTCTCATGTAGTTAGGAGTAGAGGCAGAGGGAGAATTGATGGATTATGACAGCCTTCCTCAACCTGGTGCCCTCCAGATAGTTTGGGCTACAACTCCCATCAATCCTACACCTGCTAGTATGGTGAATGATCTGGGATTATAGGAGTTGGGCCAAAGAAACAGAACAGGGATCCGGTTGGCGCAGCGCCCACCCTACTGCCCAGCAGCTTCCCTGGCAGAGGTAGTCTCAGACATGGTGCTGGAATACTGTTACAAATATATGTTCACTGAGAGAAGCTATGAACATTGTTATTATTGCTTAATTTATGTACATTGAGTGTCCCTGGTAGGTTTTTCCTTCTCTCTCTCTCTCTCTCTCTCTCTCTCACACACACACACACACACACACCTACCTCACATACTACAGATTTCTTCGCAATGTTTATGGGTGGCATTCAATTGACCCGATCAGCGGAAGCTTCCACTTACACAACAGGTCTTTGTTGTGGTCCTTCCCCTCTTTCCCATTGCATCCCTTGAAATTGGCTGTGGGGCAGATCAGAAGAACCCCCCAGATAGCAGCATGCAGAGGGAGAAAACGGGGTGGTGGTGTCATTTTATGCTCACCCTGTTGGAAGGTTGTCTTTGTGTGACATTTACATTTCTCCCTGTGTCTTTAAATGCAGAGTGAGGCAATTCACGAGATGTCGTTTCTGAAAATCTCAATCACATGCAATAGTGTAAATCTGAATGAAACTGAGGCTTGCTTAGCAAATACGACTCAGTCCTAACAAGCTGGTACCACACTTTGTTAAAGAATGTTCACAGTGCCCTTTGTCCCTGTCATGGAGTTCCTGGAAAATTAGGAGCGCCATTGAAGTGAGTGGCCAAAGAGATCTTCTGAAGGTGCAGCATGGATTTCAAGAGCTTGTATTTAGGAGGCCAAGTTAGCTGAAGAAGGGAAGCTTGAGCCTCGTTAGAATGGCCTAAGAGGCACAAGTCAGTAGACAGTGGAGGTGATTTGCACAGTACAGTAGGAAGAGATGCGAAGGAAGCACAAGAACAGCTTTGCCATTCCCACTGGTGAGCCACTCCGACAGATGATAAGAATGCATGTTGGCAGGAGGCATCGGGCCCACGCGAAGGAATGCTTCTCTGGAAATCCAGCACTAGGGAGTCATTAAAGGCATCCTTTATACCATCAGCCTTAATGATTTGCTCTTCTCACGGCATTCAGTTCATTGGTTTTTGCTGCTATAACAGGCAGCGAGCAATGGTATTTGTCACATTTTTAGATACATGAATAAATGCAGATGAGTAATAGCTGCTGTTTCGCTGGCCGTTTTGGCAACTCAATCGCACACTAGCTGAGTTTTCACTTCACCTCACGTCAAGACCCTCTGCTGCCTAACTCAGTTTGCTAATTCCCCTGCCTTACCTCTCTCTCACAGCCGCCCTTCACTCTTTCCCCATAACCCTTTATAACTAAGACCCTTTATTGCAAGTACGCTTTCTTATACCACTGATTTTCTATATAAAACAACAACATACAGCTACACTCTGCCTCCATTGTGAGAGGCTGTAATGCTTCATAATACTCGTTGCTAGAAACCACTGCAGGGAAGAGTGCCCTTGGGGGCAGGTGGCGTTTGCACATTTCCCAAAAGGCACCTGCTTGGCTGCTGTGAGAACACGTTGCTGGACTGGACAAGAAAAACTTGAGTCCAATCCCAATGTCTTATATAACTTCCGTCTGTCACAGATTAGCAATTATTATGAGGGCGATAGGGACGCGGGTGTAGCTGTGGGTTAAACCACAGAGCCTAGGACTTGCCGATCAGAAGGTCAGCGGTTCGAATCCCCGTGACGGGGTGGGCTCTCGTTGCTCAGTCCCTGCTCCTGCCAACCTAGCAGTTCGAAAGCATGTCAAAGTGCAAGTAGATAAATAGGTACCGCTCTGGCGGGAAGGTAAACGGCGTTTCCGTGCGCTGCTCTGGTTCGCCAGAAGCGGCTTAGTCATGCTGGCCACATGACCCGGAAGCTGTCTGCGGACAAACGCCGGCTCCCTCGGCCTACAGAGTGAGATGAGCGCTACAACCCCAGAGGCGGTCACGACTGGACCTAATGGTCACTGGTCCCTTTACCTTTATGAGGACGAGAAAATATTTCAACATATCAGATGTTTGTTTGACTAGGAATTCAAACTCACAAGGCTTGCACACATTTCTACAAGGATGCTGCAGAGAACTTGGCTGTGTGTTGAAACTCACCATCCAATCCATCTTTTGTTCCCTAGCGATCCCTTACATGCGGGACTGTGACGAAATGTTCCAGGCAGGCCACACAGAGAGTGGCCTCTATATATTACGTCCCGAGAACGCCATCAAGCTCGTAGCCTGGTGCCACATGGATGGATGCAATGGGTGGACAGTTATCCAACACAACACCCACAACACTGAACTCACCTGGTCAGAGACCTGGACAACTTATAAATATGGGTTTGGTAACTTGGTGGGAGATCACTGGTTGGGCACCGAGTACATTTCCTTAATAAGCCAGCAGAAATGGTACAAAGTCAGAATAAATTTAGTAGATGCAGGTGGACACCACAGATATGCAGAATACGATAGCTTTGTCCTGAGAAATGAGAACGATGAATATATGCTCAAGTTAGGGACCTACGAGGGTAATGCAGGGGACTCTCTCACTTCTTCCAAGGCCAAAAACATGCACGACAACATGAGGTTCTCTTGTAAAGACAAGGACAATGACAGATCTACCAAACAAAACTGTGCAGACGTCCACGGTGGGGGCTGGTGGTACGACTCTTGCTTTGATGCACAGCTCAACCGCAAAGGTGGGCTTCACTGGGGCACATTATGCGATGAGAACTGCAAGAGCTCAGTTATAATGCTGAAGCCCATCCACATGTATTGCAGCAGGGTGTAGAAATGCACTCAGCCTCTCATGTCGCAAACTGCTGTAATGGGATGCAGGGGGTGCAACAAAACTGCAAATTCCTTTGCTTCCAGACCTTTCTATATAAATAAATTAATAGTGGTTTCTTTTGCTACCTCTCACTGACATGGGAATGTATTTCTGACAGAATTGCAAGCCAATATTCCTGTATAACTTTTTCACTGATTGCAACACTGTGAAGTCTTCCAGTTCTTTATTAAAATAGTTTTTCAGCTGCAACAGAGAGGTGTCTTTTTTTAAGAACAAAACCCCACAACCCTTAATTTTATTCTCACGTCAATCAAAGACTCACAGGAAAGGCCAAGTAAAGTATGGACCAATCACTGTCATTATGCCAGTTAAGGACAGCTAGGGTTGCCATATTTCAAAAAAGTAAAAACCAGGACACCCTGAAAGTTGTTGAGCTTTTACTTTTCTTTTTTTACAAAAATGCCAAAGCACATCAATTCTGCCTTTGAAATCCCAGACGTATTATTTCTGCTGAACCACACATAACTCTTGCAAGATTTTGGGCGTAATCCATTTCCTTCTGCATCCACGAGAGGGCATCCCATAAGGACTCATTCAAGCCGCCACATGTCCTGTCCAACAGTGATCTTGGAGAAACAGAAGAGTATGTTGTGCAGCGGGGCCTTGGGAAGCAGGCCACTGTATACTTCTCTAAGAGGCTCAGCAGGACCTAATACTCACAGCAGTGGGAGCTGTGCACTCAGCACTATACACGCCTACCTGGTTAGTTCAGTTGGTTAGAGCATGGTGCTGACGACCCCAAGGTTGCAGGTTCGATCCCCATAAAGGACAGCTACATATTTCTGCATTGCAGGGGCTTCGACTAGATGATCCTCAGGGTCCTTTACAACTCAATGATTGGAATGCATGGAAAGTTGATATTTAAAATGTCCAAGTCATTTCAAGCAGTGCTGGACACATTTGTGTATACATTTTCAAGCCTCCAGTGGTGCATGTTAGGATTCCTGCTCTGTGTTTGCAGTCATGGGATTGTTGTCTATCACATGATGGTGTATGTTTTCATTCCACAGAGTGGGAAGTGACGGAGACAGGATGTTTTGGTATTGCTGTGTTCCGGAAAGTGGGACTGTTGTCCTTTGTTCTTTCTCTCTGCTGTCTGATGAGAAAGAGGAAGGAACTAAGTCAGAATGCTCAGAGTGTATTATATGTAAATAAATGTAGATTAGCCAAAATGCTGAGCTACTGAGTTCTGTTACGCAAACTGTGAATAGTCTGCGGATCCCTAAGTGTGCTGATGCTTCTTGGTATCAGTCGCTGTGATGTTCGGGCTGAAGAAAGTTTTTGAAGCTCCTGAACAACCGACCAGGAGGGAGAGAACGTGCCAGTCGGGCATGTGTCTCTGCCAGGGCCTTACACGAGAGTAGGACTATCCTAACAGTGCAATGGGTCAGTGAATCTGGCTGTTAATGTTAAGATTGTGGTTAGGATAACAATTGGCATTAAGGAATCAGAATGGGGGAACAGCATTTACACTAGATGCAGGTTTACACTGGGGAATAACATGGAACCATAGAGGGCACCAATAGCCTCATAGGCTCTGCTGAAAGTTTCAGCATTCTCAACACATGGATTCAATATTTAGCTAAACTTTCCTCCATAATCCACAAGGACTAGAAACTTGCTTCCTCCATCTTTTCTTTAGATGTTCCTAAAGACACCAAGTTACATGGCAGTTCTGCACCTGCCCACAGCTCTGCACACCACCCGCTCTTTACATTAACAAGAGCACACCATGCTGCCCTCTGCATTTTATGTTCATTCAAAATAATATGCAAAATAAAGAGAATACTAGCTCTTCCAGCTCTGTGCTTGGCAAGCAACACTCCCTCAGAGTTTTAAGATGGAATTTAGAGGCATGTAGGACACAGAACCTTTGAAGCGAAGCTTTAATTTTTAAAGACAACCAGTGCATCCAGGACAGGGAGGAAAAATAAAATCAAGCCCCTTCTTCTCCCCGCCCCCCAAATAATAATAATGGAAATGCTAATGAAATCCTATGAAAAATGAAACCAGGCTGCAGTGTTCCAAAGAGAATACATAATCTACAAGCTCAAAATTCAGCAGTGCCTCTACTCCTATGCCTGGGGCATGCTTAAAATATTGATAATCAAGTCTCTTCTGGAAGTGTATGATGCGTGCTTTAATCTGAACCAGTATCTTGGGAAAAGATTGCCACTTGGGGCATATATCCGCTCTCCTCGCTTGCCCATGAGCGTGCGGAAAATCTTGTTCTGGGACAGAATTTTATTATAGAACTCCACTCCACCTCTAGCAAAGCTGGTGGAAATGGTGGCTGTATTTCTGTCTGTCCTGTAATCCATTGCCTGACTCACAGCGTCGTACGAGAGACAATAGCCCACAAATCCAATCGCCATTACAGCAACGTTGTAAAGGCCTCTTAAGAGCACTGGACCCGAATACAAGCCCAGGAGCTGCTTTATGGCTACCCCAGAAATCCAAGTCCCAGCTAAACAAACGGGGGCAACGGCAGCACATATGAAGGGTCCGTTGCTTTGCAAGTACATGAGCTCTCTTGCAATGGCAAACTTCTGAGCCTCCGGAGAAAGGGTCAGGGCCTCCTTCAAGGCCAGGCCTTCTGTGCTGTCCCAGTCCACTTCTTTGCCTTCAATCACGACAACGTGGCTGGCAGTCCTGTTATCATCACTGTCTGCACCACTGAAATGGGCAGGAATGCCCACGACACAGCCTGCAGGCAACCATGGAAGCCCAGCGCTCACTGGGTGGAAGCTGTAGGCCACAAAGGCTTGGTAACGATTTGCTGATTTTACTCTGACGTCGCTGATGATGTCACGGAACAGGATCTGTAATTTTCCTGAGAGCTCCATTGGTTTCCCCTTGACCCAAGCCTGATACAATGGTCTGAATGTCTCCTCAGGAAAGATGTGAAAAGTCAGGTTAGCACCAAAGAGTCCAGCACAGGAAACTGCCAGGAAACCAGTCCTGTGCCTCTCCACCATGGCCACTGTCTTACAAAGGAACCGAACTGCCATATTCAGCTGCTGGCCTGTTCAATTTCAAGATAAGTGATGAATTAGCATACTTACACATAAGCTCCATCTATGCTATACATTTAAAACAGTATCATGCCACTTTAAATGGTTGTGGCTTTTCCCAAATAGTGCTGGGAAGTATAGTTTCTTAAGGGAGCTAAGAGTTGTTAGCACACCCCTATTCCCCTCACAGAGCTACAGCTCCCCGAGTGGTTTAACAGTCAATGCCTCTGAGAATTGTGAGGGGAATGGGGTCTCCTAACACCACTCAGACAGTTCCCAGGAATCTTGGGGGGGGGGGGAACCATGACTGGTTAATCACAAAATGGTGGCAGTGGGAGCCTGGCTAAACAGAAAGGACAGAGTAAATTGCTCAAGAAGCTGAGTACAAGGCAGAGTTTGGGTTCGAAACCACTCCTTTGGTCCCAGTGTTTTCTGCTGCAAATCGAAAAGCCATTTCAAAGGTGGTAAAAGTGAAATAAAACTTGTCCAAGAAATTGTGCACAGGGAAAAGCTGAAGCTCAGAACACAAAATCAAGTGTTCGGATGCTAAATACATTTTCCAAGATTAACTTTTTGTCCTGAAATCCGAGTTCCCATTTCACAGATAGGGATGTGAGCACTCACAAAAATCAGCATTTGTATTCATTTTCTTGGTCCCAGATGTTGTTGTGTAGTGTATACAGTGGTACCTCGGGTTAAGTACTTAATTCGTTCCGGAGGTCCGTTCTTAACCTGAAACTGTGCTTAACCTGAAGCACCACTTTAGCTAATGGAGCCTCCTGCTGCCGCTGTGCCGCCAGAGCCCGATTTCTGTTCTTATCCTGAAGCAAAGTTTTTAACCTGAAGCACTATTTCTGGGTTAGCGGAGTCTGTAACCTGAAGCATATGTAACAGGAGGTACCACTGTATAACTAAATACTTTGTTGCTAGTTAGTCTCAGGCAATAGATATAAAGAGAGTCAGTGTGGTATAATGGATATCAAGCTAGGACTTGCGAGATCCAGGTTCAAATCTCTATTCAACTCACTGTGATTGTATCTCAGCCTAATCTACCTTGCAGGGTTCTTATGAAGATAAAAATGACAGAGAGACAGCTATGACATATGCATGGTATGTTAAGGGTGCTTCTGGACTGCTTCTGTTTTGGGGGGTGGGATTCAATCACATACAAAATTTGAGTGTTTGTCAATCTGGCACTATTGCACTACTCCCCACCCCACCCCAATCAGACTCTTTGCAATAAGGGAAGTGACAGGAAGTTGGAATAAGGTGACACTGTGGAAACCTCCTGCAAACAAATCATTTTGAATGCCCAAGACTGGTCATCTGGAAGCAACCTAAGTAACAATAATACATGCCTACAAGCAGTGCTATTTTTTTTTTCTAGAAAAAGAGGTGCTGGAACTTGTCATTAATACCTCCCTTGTTCTCTTAAAATGGCAATGGTGCCCACCTGAGAGGTGCCGGAACTGAGTTCTAGTGAGTTCCAGCTGAAAAAAAGCCTTGCCTACAAGGCCAGTTATTATGTCCTTGCAGTGTAAGTATAAATGCCATGCTTTTTATAGCGTACCACAGACATAGCATAAAACAGATGCCACCCTAAACACTAATTTGCCAAAATAGCAGGTCATGCAACAAGATAACAAGTCAACCTATACTAATTGCAGATCGCAGAATTTAGCTGGGGGGGGGCCTGAAAACCCCCCTCTAATTTTAACTAATTTTGCATCTAACTGCAACTAATTGTATCCATGCTTCGTTCCGTTTTGAACCCCTTCCATTTACAGAGGCAATTCTGAAACACGATTAAACGCGCATAAAAGCATAAAAAAACTACAACGCTCCCCCTCCGTTTTTAAGCACTGGTAATGGGCACGCGCTAAGGATAAGGACCTGATCTCCTACCAGCAGAATGGGCCAATACCTCTTTTAGCAACGCGGTGTTAAATCCCAACTCATTTCTACCTACCCACACTCCACCCGCAGCAGCAGCAGCTTGAATTAATATACCGGAAAGGGAAAACGCACGTGGGTGCCGTAAAGAAAGTCAGCTGCTGAGAAAGCGGCGTGCTCAAGCTTAGCAAGAGAAAATAGCCGGCGGGAGTTCCGGGTTGCCTTGGCGACGAGGAACCCCTGCTGTTGCAAAAGGAATTGAAGCCCCCCCCTACCGCCGGGCTATAATTGGACCTTTCCCGTGTCGTCTTCTTGTGGTTCTCGATTTTGCCTTAGCCCGTTTTCCTGTCCTGGAGGATGGAGCGGGGAGGAAGACGCATATAATATATCCCACAAGGCAGCCAACACGAAGAGGTTTATTGAGCAAAGCTGAAATGCAAATTCGGGGAGTTTGCAAATGCAAACTGAAATGCAAACGGATAGAGAAAAGAAAGGAGGTGCCCTCGAAGTAATATATATGTGCAAATCATCCTTTGCAAGGGCGCGTTGCTCGGGCCAGTTACCCACGAGCCAGCTCCTTGGCGGGGCTTCTTTGCGAGAAGGGCCGCGCTGCTCATCTCCTCCCTGCAGCCCTTGGAAAGGAGGGCCTGCCTGACTCATAGCCACCCCCCCAACCCGCTCGTTTCCGCCAAGCTGCAGGCATATAGGCAGCGTTTGGCTTCGCCCTGCCGCCCCAGGGGCGCGGAGGAAAGGCGCAGACTGGGCAGCTGCCGAGCTGGCTTGCCATGCCTGCTGCCCTCGCCTACTACCGCGGACAGCTGCGCAGCCAGCCAGGAGCCTCGGAGGAACAGAGCAGCCATTGATCATGGCAAGGCTGGGAGAGATCTCTCACAGGAGAGGCATTCTGCGAGAAGCGTCCCGCTCTCTCTCAAGCCCTTCTGCTTTGTTGCACCGCCTCGTTAGGGGGTTAAGGTTTTTAAAAGGAAGTGTGTTTATGTGTGTGGCGGGTAGGCGGGGGTGATAAAGGCTACTCGCCTCGCAAAATAATCGCAATTAAGTTCCCTTAATCGCAGTCAAGAGGGTCGTTGTTGGGGGCTTCTTCCCCCCTTTTCTTTTGCACAACAAATGCACGCTTGTTATTTCTTGGGCCATGCAGTTTCCTCGGAGCTTGTGCTTCTGTTGTCATGATGGTGTGGCCGAGTGTGTTACAACTAACTTTCCTCCCCAGGGATGCACAGGTTTTTGGAGAGAGTTATGAAGGGCGCTAATGTCTGGGAAGGCTAATATTAGCCGTGAAAATGAAACAAAAAACCTGTTGGTGTGATATACACAGCAAAAGAGCAGCAAAATAAACCCACCCCTCTCTTACCCACTCTTTTGTGGATCTTCTTTTAAAATAAATATATATTAAATTGTTTACAAATTGTATACACTCTTCTGAGATTTGTTATTTAGTCGTGTCTGACTCTTTGTGACCCCCATGGACCAGAGCACGCCGGGAACTCATGTCTTCCTCTACCTCCCACAGCTTGGTCAAACACATGTCCATAGCTTCAAGAACACTGCCCAACCATCTCGTCCTCTCTTCTGTTTATGATTTCTCTAACGTGGCTCATGCTAGCATTTTATGGTCATTACGAGACTTGCACTTTGAGCCTGGAAGGATAAACACCCATTGTCTATGACACAATGCCTTGAGGACCATTCTGGCTACATTGGAAGATACTCCTAGACATCTGTTTCACGTGGATACCCATATAAACAACTGGAGGGCTTATATTAAACCAGAAGTAGCTAATGTAGCCACCTGCTATTGTTGGCCTGCAACTCCCATAATCCCTTACCATTTACCATGCTGGCTGGGGCTGATGGGAGTTGGAGTGCAAAAACATCTGTAGGGCACCATATTGACTCCCCATGTACAGTGGTACCTCGGGTTACAGACGTTTCAGGTTACAGACGCTTCAGGCTACAGACTCCGCTAACCCAGAAATAGTACCTTGGGTTAAGAACTTTGCTTCAGGAGGAGAACAGAAATCGTGCGGCGGCAGCGGGAAGCCTCATTAGCTAAAGTGGTACCTTAGGTTAAGAACAGTTTCAGGTTAAGAACGGACCTCCAGAACAAATTAAGTTCTTAACCTGAGTTATCACTGTATTAATGTTTAAGTTCGGATGGATGTATTGGTGGTTATTGTAGCCTTAATATGAGCCTTTGGTGGTTTTTAAGAAATTTGTTATTTTTCATATATTATTTCTTTTTCTTTCATAAAAAGGTGTTTATATTCCCTTAATATTTTCCCTCCCTCACTTAGTTAAATTTGCAAATAAAAAATTAACGTATGTTTTTAATATTTGATCTTTCTTGCTATCATCCAAGTTTCTCACTACACTCATGAACAAAAGTGATGGCTAAAGATCCTAGTTTTCAAAGATCCTTTAATTTGCATTGTTGTATTTATTAGCAGTGCTACTCTTAGAAGTGGTGATGGGCTGCTTGTGGACCAATGTATTAAAGCTGAGAGACTTCCGGGTTGGCGCCATCGCCGAATGGCGGACTCCCTCCGAGCTTCGGAGGGAGTCTGCTCGGCAGGGGCTGGGTCCTACCGCGCCGGCGACGCGGGGACCCTTAAAAACCACGGGCACGGAGCCCGTGGACATGGGTGACTCGGCTTGTACCATTAGCGCCCTCCCGACTCGTGAAGGAGCCTTTTAAAGGCTTCGGATCGGGTGCCGGGGAGCGGCGTGGTGCTTTGAGTCTTCTGCTTTCCCTGCCGAGCGCAGCCGCATGCCATTCGACGGAGAGCGCTGACTTCTTCCATTGAAAAATTGGACTATTAACAACAACCCGTGAGTAATTGGGAAACCGGGTTCAAAATTTCGGATTTGGCACGAGCGGGGGGGCGATTTAACAAGGAAGTCAATCCCCCCCCCTACTGTAAGCATTCCAAAACAAGGACTGGGTAACCAAGGTCCAAAGGGAAGTATATTTTTGATAAAAACCATTAATTTCACGATGGGAAATTATAAGAACTGTGCTGGAGGAGAAGAGTGGAGGGTGAGAAGAAAAATGCAACCCCCCCCCTGGGAACCGGGGCGATTCGTGGAGCCTGGTGAAGAGAGACGGAGACTTTGACAGCTGTCAAAGTGGCTGTCAAAGTTGGAGAATATAAAGAGGACTTTGTTATGAGGACTTTGCCGGTTAATTTTGCTACAATTTGTTACAATATGGATATAAACTGTTGGAAAATAAGCAACAATTTGACTTTTGGATTAGAGGATACAAAGTTATTACAATCCCCCTAGAGGGGTTTCGGGATATTACAAGAACGGTCGTAAGTGGAAAAATACTCTGGGATTCGCACAGGACTTGTTATCTTTTGGGAAAGCTGCAAAACTGAAATAGTATTTTGTCTACAGAGGTATTTACATTAAAGGAGACAATAGAATTTTCTATTGAAGAAAGGAAGGACTGGGCGTAAGTTTTTGTTCCTGAATAACAAACCTCTGTAGAGATATCAGATTTCTGAATTAGAAAGTTTTAGCAGCTGAACAGGACAAGAAACCTGAGAAAGTGAGGAAAAGAAGAACAAAGGACTGAGTACGACACGGAAAGAACACCGGGAGGAGTGGGAAGGATCAAGGACATTAAAGGCCAGTGTTAGATTGGACACTTGACGTTCCAGATTATTAATAAAGTAAAGGAAAACCGGCAAGATGGAATCGGGAGAAATTTGGTCATGAATTGAGACTTCCAAGCTGATAATGCATAGACTGATGGATATGGGAATTCAAACCGGGAAGGGGGAGATTTGAAATCCAAAGGCTGTGTAACCATCTTTTGAATTTTTTTATATCTTTTATTTTTATTTTTTACATAACTTACGCAGGTCATTTTATTTTGATTGGACGTGTTTAAAAAAAAGGGAATTCGTGGAAGGAACTGGGGTGGATCTTGGGGAAAATCTTTTTTCTTGTTAATGATGTGGGACGGTGGTAAGATTTGTACAATTCAATTTGGATAGTGGGTTAAACAAATTAAGCTTCAAATTGGGAGTGAGAGCTTGTAGAACTAAATTAAGGAAAGGGGAATACAGTCGGGGCGGGGGCGGGGGGGACACCCAGAAAGTAGGCAAGGCAAGTAAGGATTTTCAATCTCTTTTTTTCTTTTCTTTTTTTTCTTTGTATTTTTATATTTTTGGAAACTTTAATAAATATGATTTAAAAAAAAAAAAAATAAAGCTGAATCCTGATAAGGCAGAAGTGTTGCATGTCTGAGGACTGGGGACTGAGAAGTGGAAGAAGCAGGCCTGTAGATTAAGAATGCTCCTTGACCCAACATTGTCACTGAAGGCTTCAGGGGCCACAGTGGCTAGGAGTGCCTATTTCCAGCTACAGCTGGTTTGCTAGGTATGGCACCCTTTGGACACTGTAATGAAATAAATAAACTATGCACAGTCTTCCAAATGCAGCTGTACCATAGATTTACATAAACAAACTGTGATACGTTAAATCTAACAGTGCTTCTTAATGGTACTGTACTGATTTTTGTTCAGACTGGGGTAACTTTTTCAGTCAGTCTGCTAGGTGGTGCTAGAGGACATGCTCTAAGCTAGTCATTTAGTGGAAATATATATATATTTATGTATTAACTGAAAGCAAAGTCCATGCAGGATTTTGCCTGATCTTCTGTCTGCACTATTCTGCATAAGGCTTTGTTGACTGCTGCCACATTAATTAAAGTGTTGGCTCTTATGAATGATGAGGTATGAAAACTCTGGCTGCATGAGTCCCTTTTTGGATAGTGAACACCATTTGTTTATTTGGAATAGTTTTCATTGTCAAGCACGTGGTGCTCTTTATGGAGACATTTATTTGTTCTATTTTTTGAACGTACCCCCAAACACCTCCCCACATGGTTCTTTTCTTCCCACCTTCCCTATTTACTAAGGAATAAAAACCACCTGTACCAAACCTTGATATTTGAAAACCGACAAATCTATAGATTGAGCAGCTGCTGTAATGCATTGGCTGTTTGATGGAAGAATTCAGGGTCATTGCTAGCACGAAGCCAGAACATGGTACCCAAAATATGAAGAGAAATTTATCCTGCCAT